AAGGACTGTACTTCTTCATTAATTTATTATAATTATAAAAAATAGACACAACTGCATAGAGCAAACATTCGAAATCTGTTAATTTCTTTTGTTACGACAAATACAGCAAGAACAGCTGATACCATGTGTAAAAAGGCCTTTATTTAGGAAATTATGTGTTATAGTTTAAGAAAGGATAGTCTGCATACTAGGCACATGAAAGAACGAAGTGTGTTGAGCGCGGAACTGAACTTTTGAATATTAGAAACCTCATTATTATGTTTCCAAATTTAAGCATAGATTATTTGAAAATGATGACGGTAGTAATTTTAAAGCTTTAGGGGATAATTCCCTTAAAGATTCAAATAGAGAACATTAGATTCTTGGTTAGTAATGTATCGAACTAACTACGAGGCGTGGCTCGCGATTTCGAACTTACTAGGTCTCATCAGCACGCCGTAAGCAGTTTCGCTAGATCATCTACACACTTTGTCGTCATGTTTTTTATCTTGGTAGTAATTCAGCTATTGTTTAGCGAGTGTTTTAGTCGTAGATAACTTAGATTAAAGGCAATTGTTGGCACAGGGCGCGATAGGCTACAGCTCAGTATCAAGACAGGGCTCGAGCCTGTCGGTGCCGTCCACATACGTAAGTGCAGCAGCAGTCACGGTGGTGTAATGTTGTACCATTTGTGCTGTTGTCATGTTGCGAAAGGCTGGCGATCGGAACAACAATACTCAACAACTTCATTTGTTTTATTACCAAATTTTTATCGTGTCTGGTTTTTATTCCGATCGCTCCCGAATATTCCTTATGCACATCAAACATAACAGTGGGTACAAATCTTATTCTGATGTCCCTCTTTGTTCGTTAGTTATTGTTACCACCACAAGATGTAGGTGTAATAACAAGAACTAGGAGCGCGCACTATTCAATCGTTCTGGTTACAGTTGGCGCTTGAATAGAGAGAAAGAGAGAAAAACGAATAAAGAGAAAGAAGACACAACCGTCAACCATTCGTTTTTCTAACCTTGATCTTGAAACTAAAATTATTAATTTGCTCGCTACCAATGCTAGATGTTATACATCATTGGTGACTTTTGTTTGTTTTGGGCTCCATGCCCCTAAAGAGAAAACATGTAGCTTGGCATAGTAAATGTTGTAAATTTCATTAACCTGCATACTTTCCAATTAATAAGCACTCAAAGTACTTATACATCCCACGCTAAATCAACCCCTCCTTTTTGTTGTTATGTAGTACACGATGTATGTTTTGTGTTTATATTACCCTTACGTATGGGAAAATTTAATACATTCGTCAAAATATTTTACCGTTTATATTAAGAGATACTTTAGTTCATTAACTTTTATTATTAACTTCGTATCGTTTCTTGTCGCTGTAAATGTATGGAAAGGAGAAAGCGTACGTTAAATTTCATTGTCTTAAGTTTTTGATGCTGAATGTGATCTAGCGAAGGAACTTCATGGCCTTTAGACTCAAATCAGGACATCAGTTCACCAACTGGCCGCAAAAGTATTTACCAATTTGTTAAAAAACTGCGTTAACATTCGATGAAAATTAACCAGAATTAGCCAGAATTTGGTATTCTAATCATTTAACGTTTAACAGTAATAGAAATTGATAAAATTACCAATTATCATCGATAAACGTGTTAAGGTATTGTACCCACTGTTACAAGTATCTAATAGATTCATGACGCTTTTTAAATGTGATTTGTTAACAAAGTTTCATTCTCATTTGTGCCGTCCGAACGCTTGGAACTAAACTGTTGATGTTTTGATTGTGCTCTGATGTCTGTTCAGCTTGCACGGAGCATGATAGTGAGTATTTTTCCGCTTCTGACGATAAAATAATAGGCGGATGTGCAGTTTACAGCGCCATCTCTGAGTTTGCAAAATGATGAACTTCCTCACTGCTACCAACTTTGTTTTTTGACAGAAATGCTTGGAATAATCAAAAGATTACGATAGGCAAAGACAACATGAACGAAAGAGTGTTGTCATGGTCATCTCTTTGCATTTATTTTTTGCTACGTAGCTTGTATCTATTATCTTTTTTGGTTCCTACGCGCTTTGGACATTTGGGTTATGTTGGCAGCATTGCAATATTTGAAGCCAATCTCAAGGAGGGTGCCGTAAACTGCACTCTTATCAAATACTGATAATTTATCGAAACCTTCAACTTCATTATGACACAATTATTATTAATTATGTTTACTTACCTACGCACTTGGAATACTCCGACTTTTACAATGGAAAACGTATAAAATGAATTCTTCTTGTTCAAATGTAAAAATACTTTATTTATGTCGCGCCTTGTTTTATGACCAAGAAGGGTTTAGACACTTCATACATTCTCTAATAATATCTATTTTACTTAAGTTCTATTTTTATACTACTTACTTGGAGAACCTTAAGGAGGGTTACAACAGATTCGTAAATATTATAATATTTTTTTAACATATTTTAAAATTCACCTCGACTAATAACTAATTGTAAGTATTTCTTCTAAAATGTTAAAAATTTTGGCTTTGCGAAATACCCATAGGTAATATTTTCCCCATTTGCGATCAAGCTGCTCACCAAATTGGAAGACTTTGGTCTTACGAAAATGCTTATGTAAAATACCAAAAACTTTTAATGTTTCTTCCTTCAATTTGGCATAATTTATTAATGTTCTATAATAAATGTTACCTTTATTTGTGACCAACTTGCAACATTAAATGTTCTTTTAATCGTATAATCGCATCCGATGCTCTCTGTTTCACTCACGAACACACTTACTCACTGAGTTACACTTGATGTTAGATTTTAAACGGGATCACGAACCAAATTTCCAATGACAACGATCGTTTGGAATGGAAGCATTTAAAGAAACAGTCAGTACTGAAGTTCAAATCATTTATTTCTAAACTATATTAAACCAAACATATGAAACATTAAGTAACTAACTTACTAAAGCTTCAATGGTCTTTATAATCACTAGGAGAGATATTCTGTTAACAATGCAAATATCGGAGCTTCAAAATCCTTAATTTAAAGAAGTTATTTTACAGTAGGTACTTCCCCAGCAGTTCGGATTTTGTATACTTATCTATTAAAAGTTAAGATACATTCAAATATTCATTCCCAATTGGTTATACTTCGGTCATGAATCTGAGAACTATCTGAATGTTAGATAACGGTGAATTTTTTAGTATTTTAAAAGTTCATTCGTGAAGCTGTAACGTGATTATAAATTTGTGGTGATTGGATTTGGTTGTGGTCCCATTTTGGGTGTAGAATAGCAAGTGCACTGATCGTCACGCTTATTACTCTCACAGGGAGGCTCAATGCCAAACACTAGCAGCAGCGTGCCCTACCTTCTGAGCAGTAGCATGCAGAGCATCCGATCACGTAGGGCCTCTGGAGTATTGGGCGGCTCGCAGGGATCGGGCCTCTTGCAGCAGCTCGGCTCGGGCATGGTAAGACTATCCCCATCACACCATCAAGCCATCGGCAGAACAATGTCTAGTAGCACAGTTAGGAAATGTCCTTCCTTGAACATTACATTTAGTTGAATGTACGTACGTATCAACACCGAAACTAACACGATAAGATATTATCCACCGCTTATGATAATAATAATAATTATAATAATGATAAAAATCAGCACAGCTCACTATAATATTATGCAAAGATACTTCTTCAACACCACTACTACTACTATACTTCATTTACTTTCTCTAGCGATGTGCCCGTTCCAATGTCTTGGATGCGTGTTGGCAAAATCGTAGGTAGGGAGAAAGAGGCTCATTATACCCTCGACTCTTGTCCATTAAACATACTTTTTCATACAGTACCTGTCAAAAGTTTTGTTCAATCATAAACAGTAGTTCGAGTCGAAAACAAGCGTTAAAGCCTTTGATATGTCTTCAAATATAAATAAACATCTCTTTGATATTTTCAGTAATAATTGGTACCAATAACAGCACATTTGAGCAATGCAATTGTAGTGGATAAAATGGTCAATTTTTCCGTGCTGTACTGTACGGATTATACGCTCCTCACCGGTTAAGAGTTGTCTCCTTTCTTTTCTGGCCTAGTGCTGTTCTTTTCTACTTTACGCCGGTCAAACTGAAGGTCACATCGCTACAGAAACTAAACGAAGTATACTACTACTACTCTACTCTACCCTTTACTACTACTACTACTACTATTACTACTACTTACTACTACTATTACCTACTGTTACCGGTACCGCTCATTATTTTTGTTCCCAGAAGATACAGTCGACATTTATAGCAACGTAACACTTCCAGATCACTGTGATTATTCCTTTGAAAGTAACAAATTTTAGGAGCAATCTACTAACGCATGTGTTCACTAATGTAGTTTATCCACTGTCCGCTATCAGTTGATAAAAGTTCGGAAATAACCAACACAAAATCGGGAGGAAGTCTATACAGTAATGGTCGTGGTCTAGGATCGATTTATTCGGTGAGAAAATCGGTAGATTCGTCAATCAACTGCTGTGGTTAGCATCTTCAGACAACTTGAGTCGAGTCCTAAAACTACTACTAATAGTAAGTCTCAGTACTACTCCTTTTCCTGAAGATTCTAATCCTAAACGACAGTCAGAAATAACGCTGACCGTAAAACCCTTAGCCTTTTCAAGAAGAAGTCCCACTAATCACTGAAAATCGAACTCTTCAAAATTTTCGCAGGAAGAGTATCGGAGAAGCGCCTTCATGTTCTTTTCATTATCGGGTAAACCCTTTTTAATAAATACATATCAAAATTAATAGTACTTCCAGATTGCATTCACCTCTTATTGAGCGATTAATAAGTGGAATATGAGGTGGAGACTATGTTGTGCAAGCGTGGAATTTCATCATAAATAATTTCAAACTGAACTCTGCTGCAATTTATTAATTTGAAAATTGAGCAAAGTTATATAATTATAGGGTATACAAATTAAAAAACAAACCTCAGGCAATGTTATATTAAATATGTGATTACCAAAATGATCACAATACTTGCAGAGAAGTAGACCTATTATTATTATTATTATCTCCAAACGAATGATTAATAATAACTGTGCAAGTACTTCTGTTATTCTACCTTCCATCCCAGAATTAAGCAACACGCCATATCAATTCAACACTTGTGCAGATGTTTCCCTTGCAATAGTAAGTTCTGGAATACATTTAACATGGTCCTTCGAGCCGGATCGCCGGAACAAACGTGCAAGTAATAGTGTGATGTTGTTCACAAGTGGAAGTGAACAATAAGTCTAGTTTCAACAAACCAGATTTCTGTTATTCTACCTTCCAGCCCAGAATTAAACAACACGCCCTATCAATTTAACGCTTGTGCAGATATTGTCCTTGCAATAGTAAGTTCTAGAATATCTGCCTGTGAACGTTTAATATGGTCCTTCGAGCCGGATCGCGGGAACAAATGCGCAAGTAATAGTGTGATGTTGTTCACAAGTGGAAGTGAACAATAAGTCTAGTTTCAAGAAACCAAATTTCTGTTATTCTGCCTTCCATCCCAGAATTAAGCAACACGCCCTATCAATTCAACGCTTGTGCAGACATTCTCATTGCAATAGTAAGTTCTAGAATATCTGCCCGTGAACGTATAATATGGTCCTTCGAGCCGGATCGGATCGGATCTAGAATATCTGCCTGTCAACACTTATTATATGTTGTATCCTAAAATTTGTTACTTTAAAATTATAATAAGTATGTGTATACGATCCTGACGGCTTGTGGCTTTGCTTTAGTTGGAAAGGATTAATGTGTACAGACAGGGATACTTTTTGTTAAGGCATCATGAAGGACAAAGGCAGACAAAAATACAAGCTTCTGCCCACCCTGCTGATGAAAGAGAAAACAAACTGTGTTGTAACGTGGACTCTGTTGTGTCTGTGTGCATGCCAGTCGACCACCTTTGCTTAATTCGTTTCTTTAATGTTCCAGTACAACTTATTTTCTGGCAGCCGCCAGTAAAGGACCTCCTACTGACGATGACCTACGAACGTTTATTTATTATTGTTTATGTTGGGAAAGTTCGGGACACGTGAGATGGCACCACCCTCTAATGACAATCTTCACCAAGACAGCCCATTGGTCGCACCCCTCCCAGCTTTGCGTGATAATTTACAAAAAAAAACGATTATTATTAATACCATTTTATTTCCATAATAATATGACAACAGACTGGCACTGGACGTCATTTGTGTAGCTGACCACTAATTGTGGGCTTATCAATCTTTATAACGTCTTTGATTAACTAAAACGTTTTTGTTGGTCAGAATCAGGTAAATTGCGATTTCAGATTTGCTTGTTACTGGTTGATAACAAGAAACAAGTAAATTCCATTTGTCGGGCTTTAGCGTGCTGATGAGAACAAATAGATTAGAAACCGTGATAAGACACTGACTGGGAGCATTTTACTTTATTGAATTCGATTAGCTACGTTGTGGGTTCTGTTTTGGTTAAAATGGAAGACTTTGTGAACATTCATGAACCCAGAATTAGTAGCAAATCTCACAAATGATGTTCGGTGTCTGTCTATGGTTCTTTATTAACATGGCTTAGCTTGGTCAGTATTCCGTCGAAACGACTTGTGGCGTGCTGATGAGAACAAGTAAGTTTGTAGTAGTAAACTGGTTGTTTCGGTAAAATACTGATCAAGAACTTAATGTAGCTACTTTTGTTTTGGTTTTCCCATGTTTACAATTACTCAAAGAAAATACTCGCTCTTGATCCTCGAAGTCCATTGCTAGGTGAAATTGTGGATAATCAATTTGCATGCCTTATCGTGGATTTTATTCTGTTATTTATTTGACCTGTCAGCCTTATACCATACAAAGATACATACATAAGTGTATATTCCATTTTGACAATCACTTTTACCTTTTAACATGAATTTCCTTGTTATTATAGAACACGAGCGTTTTTGCATGCAGCACATTTCTCAAGTAACCACTGACACTAACTAACTAAGTAAGTAGCCAATTTATTATAATTATTTTTACATTTTTTTTATTGGTAGACACACCAACAACTTGCAAACATACATACATACATTATATAGGTATACATACATAGATATATAAATGATACGGTTTACTTGTCTTCTCCTGAATATTCATGTATGTATTTTGATTATTCTACTCTGTGATTTCTTCTACAAAATTGCCTATTTTTCCTTCTATAATGGTTGTGCTATTTGCTCAATGTTATGCAAAGAAAAGCTCTCGAATTTTTAAAGGGAGTCTTTTTGATTCTTAACGTTGGAACTCTTTGAATGCATAAGTAAGACTTCCAAAAAATAAAAAATAAAAAATTAATGAAACGGTGTCGAGTCCACCAATAAGACAATCTTATTAGTGACTTTATTACATGTTAAATTTTGAAATTTATATTACAATATTATTGTAGTACTTACTACTACGTGCTAATACTTACCTTCGACTGTCCTTTAGATTAATGAGAGAAAAAACACAGTATCAGTTACTATTTGACATTTGTAATTGTATAAAGTGTGTACTTAAAAATACCCTTTGTCATTTCAAAGACTACAATATTATATTATGATATTATTGTCAGTAAGTGTGAATGGAAAAACGCAAGTTAAGTACAAAGGAAAATTCGTTAATGGCAAAGATTAAGTATAAAGAGACTCTTCTATATGACTGTATACACACTGCAAATAAAGAATTTATTTAAATAATTAGATTTTCAATACAGTTATGATTCAAAAATCAGTTGCAGTTTTACTTTATTGCTTTACTGCCTGTTTTTTAAGTTTAAATATGATTTAAAATCCAAATGCAGTGATTAACCATCTAAAAACTAATATATTAACTGTAAATAAATTTTTTTCTTGCTTTCACAAGTTTATCTTATTTAAAAAGTATAAAATTGATGTGCAACGTACTAACCATTACACTTGAAATACTATTATTTGGATTGTGTACGGCGCATTCACCAAAATTTGGTAGATTACATAATTAAAGCTTTTATTTTAAAGTAAAGTACATATTTGCCAACGCATTCAAAAACCGTTAGCACCATGAGATTCTACTTAGCTTTTTACATTATTATCAGTTCTCAAAGCATAGTTAATGCCTTCCATCTCCAAATAATTTAAAGTGCGCTTTTTGTGTTTGATTTATCTTGTATATTTTAGTGTAAAAAGCACCGGAAAGTACCTATTTGGCAACGCATTCAAAAACCGTTGGCACCATGAGATTCTACGTATTTTTTTACATGATTATCACTTATTAAAACGTAGTAAATGCCTTCCATTTCCAAGTAATTTAACGAGCGCTTTTTTGTGTTTGATTTATCTTGTATATTTTAGTATAGATAGTACCGGAAAGTACCTTTTTGGCAACGCATTCAAAAACCGTTGGCACCATGAGATTCTACGTATTGTTTTACATGATTATCACTTATCAAAGCATATTAAATGCCTTCCATTTCCAAGTAATTTAACGAGCGCTTTTTTGTGTTTGATTTATCTAGTATATTTTAGTATAAATAATGCCGGAAATGATCTATTTGGCAACGCATTCAAAAACCGTTGGCACCATGAGATTCTACGTATTTTTTTACATGATTATCACTTATCAATGCATATTAAATGCCTTTCATTTCCAAGTAATTTAACGAGCGCTTTTTTGTGTTTGATTTATCTAGTATATTTTAGTATTAATAATGCCGGAAATGATCTATTTGGCAACGCATTCAAAAACCGTTGGCACTATGAGATTCTACGTACTTTTTTACATGATTATCACTTATCAAAACATAGTAAATACCTTTCATTTCAAAGTAATTTAACGAGCGCTTTTTTGTCTATAATTTATCTTGTATATTTTAGTGTAAATAGTACCGGAAAGTACCTATTTGGCAACGCATTCTAAAACCGTGTGCACCATGAGATTCTACGTATTTTTTTACATGATTATCACTTATTAAAACGTAGTAAATGCCTTCCATTTCCAAGTAATTTAACGAGCGCTTTTTTGTGT